CCATGCTGCTTGTGACCCTTACCTCCAACTTATTGTATCCACTGCATTGGAAATGCATGTAAGCATGACAGTGGGTGAGACTGGCATGAGTCTGAGACTTTGACCTTAACCTAAGTCTCCTTCTGAACCTGACCCCCACTCCTCATGAATACTTTGGCCCTGACCCCCATCAGACCTCAGGTTAAGTCTGTTTCCTTGACCTTCAGGCACAGTGAATCCAGAGGCGCTGGGCTCTTCACTGGATGCTAACTCAGCATAAGGTGGGGGCCGTGCAGACCCTGCTTCCTCTGACCTTAAGAAGAGAGATCTTAGTGCCTCCTATCTTACTTGTTTCTTGATACATCCTGGGCCTTGAATAACCACAAAATAGTGTTTTGGATTCCTGCTCTAGAGTCTATGTCTTATCCCATGAGTGAGCTAAGGTGGCTCTGATTTAAAACTAGGAGCTGGACTTTGGGTTCCCATCAAGGTGTGTGACTGGCATTATCTCCTCTCTCTCAGGTTACCTCTCAGAGCGAGGGGCCTAACCATGGATGGGTAATACATTGTCTCATTTACCTTTGAATTTTTTTAATATACATTGAATGCTAACGATAGGCTAGGCACAGGAACATTTTATGTCATTGCTTTATTTAATTTTTACAACACTCTAAATTCCATTTTATAGATGATGATATTGAGGCTCAGAGAGGTTAACTAGCCTGCCCAGGGTCATCTCACTCCAGACTGGCTGTGGTTTACCTCTGTCCTACTCAGCCTTCCCAGCTGTGGTCATTCCCATTGCCTTGAGTTAGAAAATTTTATGAACTTTGACATGAGTTGATGAGTAGTTAAAAAAAAATGTTTACTAGCCCCTTCCAAACTTGTGTCTGTTTTTACAAATAACTTGAGTAAGAAAGAAAAAAGGTACTGTTCAAGGGGCTCTTCCTCTGCTGTGCGAACATAGCAAGCTCTCATTGGGTACAGGGCAAATCCTCAAGCCTGGAGAAGCTCCCTTTCCTTTCTCACAGAAGGGGACGTGCTGCATTCCTTGGCATTGCCCTGCATGCCAGGGGCCAGGTCTGCCTTTGGGAATGGATCCATGATGGCGCCCTTCCATCAGCCCCCCTGCCCTGCAACAGCAGGCTGTGACTACCCACTGCTGTGGGTATTACCCTCTGCCGAGAGGCAGATGGCTGCTCTCATACTAGACTCCAATGGGGATAGATTACTAAAACAGCTCCTGGCCCAGCTGAAGGCCAAATTCCTGCTAAAATAGTGTCTTCTAGCCACTGCTATGTGGTTGCTGGCCTGGCTGGTGAGAGGGTGTCCATGCGCCTGGCAAAGTTCTCTTGATTCCATTCACCACTTATGACCTTTGCTGGTCCACACCACTTTCCTTTCAAGCTGATGAGCTGGGTAGGCCTTCGTAATCCACCTGATTCCTCTTTCTGCTCTTTTCCTTCTTTCTCTCGTCCCGCCCATCATTGGGAATATTGAGGGCAGAGGGAGAAAGGTCTAGACATATGAGTTGGCAACTCCCTACTGATCAAAAAATGATAAATATGAAGTAGTTGCCCAATGGAGGACACAAAATGCAGACTGCTTAAAATGTAGACAACCTGGTTCTGGTGCTGGCCTCTGATCCCAACTCAGCCAAGTCCATCCAAAGAATGAGAGCTTTGGCCCTCCTCCTGCGCCACCTCGGACCTTTCACATGTCACATGTATTCCTCACAGGAAGTAACTATAGAGAGGCATTTATAATAAAACTGAGTTGCTGTGGATTTCTACCCTTCACCCCCACCCCGTCTATTAAAGCTTGTCTGTGATCACGTACGAAGTGTCGTTGTTCTCAGCTGCCCGCGCAAAGGGAGGAGGGCTACAGGGCAGGAGCAGGCTCAATGCCGGATGACATCAGCTCTTTCCAGGCCCGTTTCAGCTGGGCTTCAGTTTTATGGCCCTTCTTCAAATCCTCAGAGATCTCTCCTGTCTGAACTCACCCCAAAGAAGAGAAGCAGCGGCCTATTTCAGTTGGTTCTCTCCTGCTAAGTATTTCTGGCAGTGACAAATATGCATTGAGATTGAAATTGACTTTTAAAGCTCTGGAAAAGTTAAAAATACTTTTGGGTAGTTATGAGCATTAGGCATAACAAATGGCTCCGAGAAACCCTGGGTAGTTTCGGTAATGAAATATGAAGTGATGGAGGTGGCATTTCAGGCTGGCTCAGATTGGGGAATGAACTTCTTTGGTTATATACATATGCCGTTATTAACATTTCTGGCTCCCACTCGTATAAAATATCACTATGCGACCCCCTCGTTATTGCAAACCAGGGCAATAACAAAAACAGCAGGGGGAAAAATGGTGCGAAGAACACATTAGTCCATCGAATCTAATTGCAAAATCATTTCATTAAAATGGGTCAGCGGCTCCATTGCAGAGGTCCACCAGTTATAATCTAACTATACTACTGAGAGCAATTCCCGCTAACTACAGACTGCTCTCACCTTGATTAAAACGAAAATGCATTTAATAGGCGGCTGTCCCCAGCCGGCGCGTGTCTTCAGGCTCATCGTATTGAAGAGCAAACTGTGCGCCCTTCTGTCTTTCTGTCTTTGATGAGCAGTACCATTCCTCTGCTTTGCAAGGACCCCATTATAGACACATTCTGAAAGAAAAATACACACACATGTGCAAAATGCTCCCTTCACACCATCACCATGTGGGTGCCCTGGTAGGGAGCAAGAAGAGTGAGCTGTCATCTGGCAGGGTTTGCAAAATGAAATTCTCCCAGGACCCAGCACGCTGAAGTGTCTTGGGAAAATGGTCCAGGTCAAAGTTACTCAGTGGGACTGATGCTGGCGATCCAAGGGCAAGGGGTTTGCTTCATACACTGGACCAAATAGCTGGGAGCATAAGGGGCAAGGACTGTGTTCATGCAAGCCTGAGATTAAAGGGGAGATGGAAGGAGAGGATGGGGAGGGAACTGAGAGGGAGCGGAGGATGCATCCAGGCTGCTGCTGGCTCTGTTTTAAGTAGACACTGTCGAGTGCATTCCCCATCAGCAGTTAGTACAGGGAGATGATATGAGCAGAGAGACAACCAAACAGAGGGAGACATCCGCTTTCTCCCTCACAATAGTGTACTGGAGGAGAAATGCTGTTCCATCCACCTCCACCGTGTCTGACTTTATGATCATTCCTAGAGGCACTGGGATGAATTTTTTTTAAGTCACAAAGCACATTTGCAGTAAAGCATAGTGTTAACCCCATGGGCCCTGGCAGCAGCCTGCCTGGGTTCGCCCCACCACCACCTACCTAGCACCCAGTATGCCTCAGTTTCCTCATCTACAAAATGGAGCTGGAACCTCAGGGTGTTGCAGGAATTAAATGGAATCACGCATTTGAAGTTCAAAGAATAGCGCCTGGGTCGTGACACACGCTCAGTATGTGTCAGCTGTTACCATCAGCTCCGCTGATGTTTTAGTGGTCTCTGACATGCTACATGTTCTGCCAAGTTCTAGGAGAGAACAGCAGCAGAATCACAAGCATCCACGCTAACTTCCCTCCCTCCAGTTCCTTAGTCTTTGATCTTCACATCAACCTTTGTGATAAAAGAGTAGTTACTTGATTCCATTTTGCCTGTGGAGAGACTTGAGCTAGTAATTAGCAAAGCCTGGCCAAACCCACGCTCTCCCCTGCTAAATCCTGCGGGTTCCTCGGGCCCCACATTGCTGCTCATACACATAAGATCACCAAGGCAATGCCCCCACTCTCTCAGCAAACCCGTGATGTCCACGCTTTGTAAAACACTCCATCAATACACACAGGACACTCAGCTGCCAGCGGCACCCAGTTTGTGCACCGGACAGATGTAGATGCAGCACTTGTTTGGAGCCTGGCAGTGTGCTTACAAAATGTGAAGGGTGAGGGTGAGAGAACAGAGATGATCCAGCCCCATCCATGAGCTCATGTCTGATAGGAGGACCAGAATGCCCCCATTACCACCAGCATAATTCATGGGCTCACAGAGGTCTGCTTGGCTGCTCCCCTGGGCACCTCAGAGACATCAGATTGCCGGTCTCCTTACCATTACTGTGTGACCTTGACAGAAATGCAATTTGGAAAAGATAAATCTCAGCTCCAACTTTTAGCTCATGGGAAATGGCCTTCCACCATAGTTAAACAAAACTTACTCTCCCAGGCAGAGGTCAAATCTGACCCTCAGATGCATCTGCTTAGCTTGACAGTGTTTCCAATTTGAATTCATTACCAGTATTTTTTAAATACCGGGACACTCATAGGGAAAACAAAGGAAAAAAGGAATATTGGGCACCTCTGAGGGAAATTCCCAAGTATTAAGACTGTGGGCTCCAATTCTCCAGATAACCTCATTGTCGTCTTTCCGATTTCAAGGGGAGACATCAGTGGCCATTTATGGCTATATGCTTGGCTTCCTTCGCCCCATTATCTGCAAGGCCTGGAAGACAGCTGAGCTTGTGACCTTTTCCCATAGCTTATTCCCACCCCTGGAATACACTCCCATGAAATCACTATCAAAATCTCTTCCATTTGGATTATCATGAACATTTAGAGGGCCCTTGGATGAGAGGAATCATGGGGCACGTAGCTGCCCTAAAAGTGCCAGCTGGATTTTATGCATAGGTATCTCGGATCATTTCTTTGGGCAGAACATCCATAATTTTTATCAGTTCCTCAATGAGATCTGTGACCCACAAAAGCATTAAGAGCCCCAGATCTTAAGCCTGGCTCCCTGAGGACAGAAACTGATGATGACAAAGACCACAAGGAAAGTGGAGGAGGCTGGGGAGAGGGCAGGGACAGCAAAAACAAGATGGCCAAATAATGAAGGTGCCACCGCTGTGTCTGTCATTTGACTCCACTATACACACGACCCCGACTCACCTGGCCCTTGTCTCCTCACTCCCGCTACCCGCAACCTCAAGCCTTGAGCCAGGGAACCCGAGTGACTCTGACACCCTCTTTGGCCCCGCCTAGGCTCCGAGGACTACCGCAGCAGGTTCAGCAGTGAGTGCTTCATGGACCTCGTGTGCCCCGAGAAGTGCCGCTGTGAGGGCACCATTGTGGATTGCTCTAACCAGAAGCTGGCCCGCATCCCGAGCCATCTTCCAGAATATGTCACCGATCTGTAAGTCCTACCTTTGCATGAGCTTCCTGTTCCTCCGTACTCATACCCAAGGACCTTGAGCCAGCATGGATAGGTCTCCTGGCGGTGAGCCCTTCTGGCTCAGGCATATGGGCACTGCTTGGCCTTCCTCTGTGTGCTAGGCCAGTGGTGGCAAACCTATGCGCATGTGCTGCAGCTGGCTATTTGTTATCACTGAAGGCACTAAAATGTTCGCCATCACTGTACTAGGCTAAGGACAGACACTCAGGCATCTGTGGACAGCTTACCTGCCAAGAAAGACAGTTTGTTCATTCTAAAATATTTCTAAAATGCTAGGGACTGTGTTAGGTCCACGATTTCAACAATGAATAAAGCAGATAACCTCTACTGGCCCTATGGAACTTATACAGTAATACCTTGGTTCACAAACGCTTTTATTTGCAAACAGTTCAATTCACAAAAGCATTTGGCAAAATTCTGCTTCATTTGCAAGCTCCAAATTAGGTGACAAACACGACCACAGCCATCTTCCCCACACAAACACAAATGCAGCCATTTTCCTCAAAATTGTAAAGTAAATTAAGTTTTTAAACCAAGGTACCACTGTAGTTCTAATTCACCAGAAATATAAGGGTTCAGTAAAAAAATTGCAATAGAGCAAGAATACAATTACTGTAGAATGATTAAATATATCTGAGCCTCCTACTAGCCATGCTATAAAGTGAAAAGGCTAAACTATATAGCATAATAGGTAATAAGGGCCCAGGAGGGGACTGTGGGACCTGGATCTGATGCCTTTATCCTCCAGTCTTCCTGAATTTTACCACCTTGCTTCTGGGATTTGAGGCTCAGTTTGTTAGCTGCAAAATGGGATAAATTGTGCCTCACTTCTAGGTTGAAAAATTAAGAGAGACACACAGTCTTCATCTTCAACCCTGGAGTGGGTTAAGCCCTAAGTAAATGGCGAGACCGTTATTATTCTCAGTATTCTCTTTGACTTTGCATTGTAGGAGACAGCAGCCTGCTTCCCCTGAGTACACAGAGACACTGAGCATGGGGTCCTGAGATGCCTCTGGTAGAAGGAAGTAGTCAGGAGGCAGCCAAGTGGCTTGGAGCCTTGGGAGACCCTGGTGGAAACTTCCTCTGGGCTTTAAGTTGCCATTGGTACCCACATAAAATGAAAGCAGATACTTCCATACAGACTATGGGCAAGAAGTCCCTTGACCCTCCCACCCCCAGTCAAAGGGGCTTCCTGAAGGAGGCAAAGGGGGCAAGTTGATGGTCTCTTTCCTGCCCCTTCTCCTTTCTGAGCACCTTAGGTTGATGGGGCAGATGCTGAAGATTTCTACAGCTCTGTTGACCTTTGTGGAATCTGAGTTTCAGGTGACAACTCAGCTGAAGCCATATGGGAAGGCCAGGCAGGGGACAGCCAAGGAGGTGCCTCATCCACTGCTAATCCACCTCTTGTTCTTGCCTCCTGTGCAGGCGACTGAATGACAATGACATATCTGTCCTGGAGGCCACCAGCATCTTCAAGAAGTTGCCCAACCTGCGGAAAATGTAAGTCAGATCAAGAATATGGCAGCTGCCTCCCTGTCCAAGGTCTGTGTTCAGACTAGAATAGAATGCTAGGACTCTGGTGTCCCCTCACCTTCTGCTTTGATGTTCTCAGCCTCTTCCTGACCCCTGCTATGGCTGTATTGGGAAGTATGACATATAAGCGCAGATCAAAGCGAAACGTCACTACTTGTAAATTGTCAAGCATTGTGCAGAGCCTGCATTCCTCACCACCCTTACCCATCCTGCATCCTCTGGGCTCGCCCCTGCCCCCACCCCACACCCACTGTACAGCGCAGAGGTGATGGGACAGATGCACTGGATTATTGCAAAGGATCATTGCTACTCAATACAGGGGTCATATGGCAACTCAAAGGGGCATCTCAAATGACATCATTGCTGGGTGGGGCTCAGTCTTAGTCCTAGGTTGGATCCCCAGGCCACAGAAAGGAAAAGAAAAGATAGAAGAGAGAAGAGAGAAGAGAGAAGAGAGAGGAGAGGAGAGGAGAGGAGAGGAGAGGAGAGAGGGGGCAGGGGGGGTTGAGGAAAGAGAAGGGAAGAAAGGCAGGGGAAGGGGGGGCAAGGGAGGGGGCAGAGGAGAGAGAAGAGAGAGAAGCAAAGGAGAAGACTAACTGACATAACATTCAAAGTCAAAACCTCTCTCAAGTAAACTTTCAGATTACTCCAGGTCACTTCTACTGCTGAGTCTAAACCAGGGGCAAAAAACTAGTGGTCCTTTAGCCAAAATTGGGTCTACATTTTTTGATTTGTTGTCCATTACTATATTTTTAATGAGAATCAATTGCCCACTTATAAGAACCTGGAGTTCTCACAGAAATGAAAAAGCTTGGATTGCTGGCCTCTTGGTGAATGTCAGATGCTCCAGCAGAACTGGTTCCACCTTCCCAATGGGCCCCATTGAATTGAACCCTGGAGTAGCTGCCCCCTTAGATCAGACACATGTTTCTGGGTCACCTGTGTCCCCCCTGGGCCTGCTTCCATCACCAGTAAGTCACCTGCCAGACATAGACACTTCAACTTGCAGCCCGCACTTGAAGCAGAATTTTTACTTCAAAGAGAAGGACGGGACTGTGAGGCAATGGACAGGACCTCTTCATCCTGACTGTGCCAGAGCGTTGCTCAACCATGACCCAGTGTCCTTAGTTTCCAGAATGTTCCACCCAGCTTCCCCATGCCATTTCTCTCTGAGACTACGCTTCTAACAGGATACCAGCTCATTCCCCATTGCCAGAGTTGAGGGGCCCCCCTGAAATGCTGAGATGACATAACCCACGGAGAGGCCAGGGCTCGCCATGCTGGCAGCCAGCCGAACCTGACAACCTGCCTCTTGGAGACAGTGAGGGTGGGGTTGACAGGACCAGGAGCTGACAGGGCCCCAGGGCTGGGCTGAGAGTTGCTGAGGCCAGGTCTCCTGGGTGTAAGACCCCATCTTCACCAGGATCAAAGCCAGGAGGAGGCAGTTTTCTTTCAGGTAGATCAAGTAGAGAATAAGATGAAGGGAGCCCCCTGATGACCCTGGTTTTGTATTTTGGGGTGCTCTGGTATCTAGGGCTTCTTCAGGAAGACACCCCCACTCTAGAAATATGCCCGGGCTCTACAGAAGCCCAGCGTACTCATATTTTTCCCAGAATGTTTGCCCCAAACAACACCCTCTGACCCGCAGCCCTACACAGCCTGCAGTGGGCAGCAGTGCTGATGGATGGAGAAAGAGCAAGGCCGCCTGCTCTTCTGGAAAATTCTAGCCCCTCCTTTTGACTCTCCTTCTGTTATTCATTCTCTGAGCTGGAGGAAATGCAATTCACAAACCTTACAGTAATGTGATATTAATTTTGCTGGTTTAAAGAAACAGATGTCAGGAAATGGGAACCCTCCCGCTTCTTAGCTGCCTTAACTCACCCTCACTGCCTGAGCGGCCCAGCTCCCGGGGGCCAAACCCCCTCCTGCAGCGTCCTGATGAGTTATGGCCAGTAGCAGAGCCTCTAGTTCTCCTCCCACATCCACTTTAGGGGTAATTTGATGTCTCCCTAACACATGACCCTCATTCCCTGGGTTATCCCAGACCAGGGCTACTGGGATTGATAAGAAACCAGCTGAGTTTCAGGACGGCTCAGGAAGCAGAAACTGTTTAGGAGCTTCTGGCTCTCGGGCCTTGGAGGGGTTCTGGGACAGGGTTTGGGGGGCTGTTGGTCCCATTTTCTTAGCAGAACAGAAGGGGGAAGAGGAGAATGGGGTTGTGGTGAGCAACAGATGATTTGAGAGAGGAACAGCATCGTCTGGCTCCTCCACACCCACCTGCCTGTGCCCACGGGTGCCGGCATTGCTGCTCCTTGGGGCAGTCTGTCCTGGGGATGAGGAGGAAATCTGCTGACAGCCAGAGCTGTCTGTGGGCCCGCAGAACCTTTGGATCCAGATTTTCTGGTTTGCAAGAGACTGATCCCGCCAGACTCTGCAAACACCATCCAGTTCTGTCCTATCCACTTGGCTGGACATCCCTATGGCCCATGGAAGCGCCTTCCTTTGCCTCCCCAGAGAACTGAGAAGTTCCTAGCAGCTGCCTGCTGCTCCCGTCTCTGGCCCAACCTGGGTTGCCCTGGGCTTTGGCCTCCACAGGAAAGGGTCTGTGCTCTGAGCTCAGTGCACAAAGTAGCAACCACAGCACCAGCACTTATGCCCCAGTCCTGAATTCTCAAAGCAAGTAATATAAGGGAGTGAGTCCAATGTCACCGAAGAAATATTCTTTCATGAAAGTGACCGTTCAGTCAAAAGAGTTTTCTGTACCAGTAAAACCTGACTTCACATCCCAGGCCTGTTGGCTCTGTAACTACGAGCAAGTTGCTTAATCTCTCTAAGCCATAAAGTAGACAGTAATAGTCCTTGTCTAAGGGGTGTTGTTTTGATGCTTTGCTGTGATTATGAAGCTTATATCCCTAATGTGGTACCTACCACACAAAAAGTACTAACCTGAAAGTGTCCTCCTATATCAGGAATTTCAGTGAGAGACCTGGACATTCCTTAAGTGGCTAACTCCCACAGGCAGGGGACATATTTTGTACTTTTCTTCCCACCTTCCTCTCAAGAGTCACTGCCTAAGGTAGACATGGTGGTGTATACCTGTAATCCTAGTACTCTGTAAGGCTGAGGCGGGAGAGTCTTAAATTCTATCCCAGCTTGGGCAATCTAGCAACTCAGTGAGATTTTTGTCGTAAAATAACTTTTTAAAAAGGTGTAGCTCAGTGAGAAGGTGCCTCATACTGCAAAATAAGTAAATAAACAAATAAATAAACCAGGTGTGGTGGCACATGCCTGTAAGCCCAGCACATAGGAGGCTGAGGCAGGAGGCTTGCCATGTATTCAAGGCCAGCCTGAACTACAAAGTGAAGTCCTATCTCAAAACAAAACAACAAAATTTAAATAAATCACTGCTTAGTGAGACTATGTGATAAAAAGAGAAAATAGGGGCTGGGGATTTAGCTCAGTGGCAAAGCACCTGCCTGGCAAGCACAAGGTCGTGAGTTCAGTTCCCGGTACCGGAGAAAAACCAAAAAAAAAAAAAAAAGAGAAAATAAATTTGAGATTCAATGTATTAAACCTACCAATCCCCCAGGACATGAAAAAGATAATTATACTGAAAAATCTCTTCAGGTGCCATGCAGTCTGCTTTACAAAGGTGGCCCCTCCTGTGGGGGGACTGCAGTCCCTTTCCCAGGCACAGGGACAGAGGACTGAACACCAGGGACCTGAGACTGACCCCCCGCCTTCCAGGGCTCTGTCCAAACCCCCGAAGGTCCCCAGCTGTGATCACTGTTCACCCTGACCCTCTGTGCCTCCTTCCAGAAACCTGAGCAACAATAAGATCAAGGAGGTGCGAGAGGGAGCCTTTGATGGAGCAGCCGGCGTGCAGGAGCTGATGCTGACAGGGAACCAGCTGGAGACTGTGCATGGGCGCACGTTCCGCGGACTCAGTGGCCTTAAGACCCTGTGAGTGCCGGGGCCTGGGCCTAGCCCCCAGCCACTGGGAGGGCGGGGAATCAGACATGTGTGTGCAGGCCGGGTGGCAACAGGCCAAGCCAGGGCACTGTCCTGACCTGCAAGATCCCTTGTTGCCTCCAGCCAGGGTCGACAGACACTTCCTACCTTTGATGGAAGCAGTCAGCAAGCTGGGCAGCCCAGCGCACACCCCACGCAAAACCACTCCTGGATGCTCCTGCCAGGAGGAGGCACACAGACACGCTCACCCCCAAAGACAGACATAGCCCCACGTTCATAAAAAAGACAGACACACACAGACACATGCCCCACGCACATAAACACATCACAGCAGTGCGTGTGGACAGACACCTCACATACACAAAGCTCACACCCACAGCTACTTCTCAGTCCTTCCTTGTCCCCCCAGAAATACGCTCACCACCCGCCACAGGAGACCAGGGTACACGTGTGTGCACACATACAGCTGGCTCATGCTTCCACAGTGAGTATAGCATGCACAGGCAAGAATGTACACACACACACGCACGCACACACACACACACACACACACACGGCTCCAGTAGGGATCTAGGCCTTGCTTATCTGAGGACAGAGCTGAGTTACGTGGCAGGCTAAGCTCAAGAGCTGGCGCGAGTGCCCCGCCTGTTACACAAGCGCCATCTGGGGAGGCAGGCGGACGCCTCTGCTCCCTCACGCCCACCCCGTTCCCTGCAGGATGCTGAGGAGCAACGAGATCAGCTGTGTGAACAACGACACCTTCGCTGGCCTGAGCTCTGTGAGGCTACTTTCCCTCTACGACAATCGGATCACCACCATCACCCCTGGAGCCTTCACCACGCTGGTCTCCCTGTCCACCATGTAAGTGCCCCACGGCCCGCACCTCTGGGGTCCTCCTCCACCGATCGCCCCAGCCACCCCTCCAGGTCTCTCCTATCTTTGACCGAAGCCGAGGGTCCAGCTGTTTACGTAGTGAACGTTTGTTAGGCTCCCTAGGTGTGCTGGGCACCACATAGGTACTGAGAATGGGTAGGTCTGGCCCTTTCTTCCTGGGGTCACAGAGGAATGAACTGCCACAGAAGAGAGGACCTCAGTGATATAAACACCCGACAAAAGCTTGTTTGACAAATATATTCTGGGAGTTAGCTTGCTGAAGATGGGGAAATGCAGAAAGAGCATGTACCATGGCCCTGTGGTTGGTTGGAGCAGCGTGAATACACAGGCCTGAGCAAAGACCAGTATGACTGTGACTAGGAAAGGTCATGATGTAAGGCAAGGCTTGGAGAGGAAGCCGGGGCCAGGCTGCAAGGCTGCTGTGGGTCAATTTTACTCCCTCCTCTGAGAATACCAATACTACTTTAAAGTAGATAGGGACGTGATCAGCAAGGGGTTGTAAAAAGGGATCACTGCTTCCCTGTGCATCCCAATCAGAGCTGGAATCCAGCTTTCTGGATACTAAAACATATGCTCCTTCCTGGGCAATTCACCGAGCTGACTCTAGAGCCAAACTTCTAGGTACAAACCCTGGCTTCTCCACTCATTCTCAGTGTGACCTTAGCAAAGCTGCTTCATTTCTTTCCCCTTCAATTCTCCCCTCTGCGTAACCCATCTCCTAGGATCTTCCTAAGGACTGAAGCTGTTCAAATCCGTAAAGCACACAGCGAGGTCCTCACCGTAGACAGTGCTTGACGTGCGTTCGTTTTACAGCTGCTCATATTTCCGGGGGCTCTGTTCTCCTTAGCTGCTGGTAACTGTCCCGTCTCCTCCCTTCCCCCAAAGCCCTTTGGGAGACAAAAATGCCAGCTGCTGCCTCCCCTTATGTTCCCGCACGCCTGTCTCACGTGGCACAGAAGCCTGGGGTGTAGAACGCCAGCAAGCCCTCGCGCTGTCCAGGCCCTCGTGACCTGTCAGCCCCTTCTCCCTCCAGCCCGGCTCCCCTACTTCCCACCTCTTCTTCCCACCCTCTGTCTGCCCCGCTGGCTGGTGCACTGTCCCCCTGGCCCACCCTTCCCTCATCTACGCTCACCCCACCCCCTCGGCATCACTCCCTGCCCTCTGGCCCTGCTGGCCTCCTCTTTACCCAACACCAACTCTTTTCAAAGATAAACTATAATGAACTCACTACTGTTCATGCTATGCTTACCCTTCATGTAAGTTCCAGCAGGCCAGGGAGATGCAGCTGTCTCACTCACCGCTTATCCCACCGTTCGGCCCTTCAGCGGCAGCTGCCCCTGCTGAGACCCCTGCTGAGAGCCTGAGCCGATGCCAGCCTGCAAGCTGGATGAGTGGACGAATGTGATGAATGAGCGGCGCCATCAGGAGGGGACAGTGGGTTAGGGACTAACACTGGTGGCTTGATTCATCTTAGCCCATTTTTAGCACCTCCACCACCAAAAGCCACGTCAGATGTCAGATGCCCGGGGGCGGAGTCGCAGAGCTTGCAGGGAACAGGCTCCCACAGTGAGGAGCTTGCCCAGCTTCCCACAGCGCTGAGTATCAGGGCCAACTCTACCCGGGAAAGATGGTCCCCAAGCTCTCGAGTCCCTGTCCCAGAGCAGCCACCTGAGGACTCTCTGGCCCTTGGCATGCTCCCTGAGCATTCCCCTCCTCATCTGTGGAGTGCGAACACAGTTCCCCTCACAGGGTGGCTGTGACAAGAGTGGCTGTGGTGTGCGTGAAGCATTTAGCGTGGTCTCAGCCCTGCGGCAGACACCCGTGGAGTCAGCTGCTATCACTCCCTTACCCGTCCACCGGTCTGGCCATGCCGCTTCACAGATGTGGACAGGGTCCTGTGAGGATGTCGGGGTAGGTCCTGCACCAGGCAGGCAGCCCAGCCCCCACCCTCATGGACTTATGCGTCCAAAGCACAGGCCCACGGGAAGCCCAGACTCTACCCACTGTGTCACCACCATGGAGGACGTGAGAGTCACGTTCTGCCAGTAGGAAGGAATCGCAGGCCGTTCCCACAGCTGGCACCCGGCAGGAGACAGCAGCCGTGTCCACTAGTGGAGGCCTGCAGGGAGACGCCTGCAGAGACCACACTGGGCCCCTGCGGGGATCTGCAGTCCCTTTCCACACCTCCTCTCCGCCCTCTGGAGCACGGGCCTGGGCTGCAGGAGCTAATCCCACTCAGGGCGGCCTCTCCCTCCCCAGCAACCTACTGTCCAACCCCTTCAACTGCAACTGCCACCTGGCCTGGCTGGGCAAGTGGCTGCGGAAGAGGCGCATCGTCAGCGGGAACCCCCGGTGCCAGAAGCCCTTCTTCCTGAAGGAGATCCCCATCCAGGACGTGGCCAGCCAGGACTTCACCTGCGACGGTGAGCACCGGGGAGGGGTGGGGGGGCGGTGTATGCGAAGGTGAGGAGGCGCGACTGGGCCGCACCTCAGGACCCTGGAGGAGATCTGACTTCTCTGCCCTGTGGGCACAGGACAGACTCACTGCTAGCCAGCCTGGCTCCTTCATGCAAATTAAGAAAAAATGCCCTTTTCTGAGGTTGTTTTACTTCCACCCGTCAGAAACCTGCCGTAATGTGCTGACTGCATTAAAGTAAGACACTGCGCTACAACAAGGCATTGCCCTCTGTGAGAACACTGTCCTACCAAATATATAAGGTGCCGCGTCCACAGTGAGATAGGCGTCCCTTAGATGGTACGACCGCCTTGTGCCGTATATAGCTATACAATGTTCGTGGGAGCCCCAGGCCTGAGTCTTCCTGTCTGTGTCATAGTGAAGCTTAGAGTGTGAGAAACAGACTTCAAGAAAAACGCTGTCACTGGCTAGGAGATAGGAACACAGAAAGATCTGAGGCTTTGGGTCTCAGCTCCTAGAGACCCTACTTGTCTAAATGGATCCAACCAGTGCAGTTCCTTACTTAATCAATTTGAGGTCATCTGAGGAGAGATGAACTGGTTTTCAGATTAACTGAGGTTAACGTATAGTGGGGACCAGGGAAAAACCACCTTAGAAGGGACTACGTAGTGATAGGAAGGGAGAGAGAGGAAGGAAGAAGACAGGACTCTGCCCCCACCCCTAACTACTCCTTCAGTCTTTAGTTTATTCCTGACCTGGTTATCAGCGACCTCTTGCCTATCTATTACTCCGGATAATCGAATCTCAGCCACCTTGGCAGTCTTCATTTTACATCAAGTGCGGTGAGAGGCAGGCAGCCCTTCCCATGACCCAAGCATGGATGAGCCCCACGGCTACCTTCATCCTGGCTCTGCAAGTCAGGCCCCAGGGGAGAGCCTGCCCTTGCTGGGAACCACTTGGCCACCTCACCCCGGCCCTGCTCACCTGCTGCCCCTGGCAGGGCTCCCCTCCCACCGCACTCACCCTCTTGGGGTTCTCCACAGGCAACGACGAGAGCAGCTGCCAGCTGAGCCCGCGCTGTCCAGAGCAGTGCACCTGCGTGGACACAGTGGTGCGGTGCAGCAACAAGGGCCTCCGCGCCCTCCCGAAGGGCATGCCCAAGGACGTGACTGAGCTGTAAGTCCTGCCCTTGCCGTGCCCTGCAGGCTCCTCACCCCCAGCATCCGCGCACTGTACCCCCAGTATCCCAAGCAATACTGCTGGCGGGATGCCTTTCTTGATTGGGTCCAAGAAGGGCTTCCCCAGCATAGAGACATCAACTGTGACAGGCAGCAGGAAGCCCAGCTTGCCCTAAGCCCCAGCCAGGGTGGCAATATCTGACCCTGCTCTGCCTAAAGAAATTCCAAAGTATAAGTGAAAGGTTACTGCTTCGTGTTCTCTGTCCCCCGCTTGGCCTCTGCTCTGCACTCTGCCTGCCTAGAGTCCTTGGCTGTTTATCTGTCTGACTCCAGCAAACATGCAGCTGAAGCATGAGCTCGTCATCCAGGCGCACGCTGGCTAGAAGCACACTTTTAACTAGTATGCTTCTAGTTCACCTCCGGACAACCCTACCGAGCACGTGGCCCCATTTTAGAGATGAGGCCTCAATACTGAGACTTCTTCATTCTCCGAGCAGAGCTTTCTTATCCCACACTCCTGATGGTTGTTCCTCAGACCTTCCTACAGCATAGAGTCCAGGTTCATTGACAAGCTGCTGTTCTCTTCCCATAGGACTCTCAGTATAGCAAAGAGAACTGTAGTGTGCCCCCTAGAAGGTTCCAATGGGTGGGTAAGGCCCAGTCCTGCGGTCAGGAGACGTGCTGTCTGGGATGCAGCTGGGGTCAGAAGAGCAGCACACTCTTGCACCTCCCAGCCAGCCGACATTCACACTTGCCTTTATTCATTCACTCAGCATGTGTGGATTAGGTGCCTCATGTGTCAGGTCCTATGCTAATGCTACAAGGGCAATGGTGAGTAAAGCAAGTGTGATCCCAACGCTCATGGGGCTCATGGTTAATTGGGGGAGGTAGACGTTGATTTCATCAACTTAGAAACGTGCGATGTGACAGCCATGAAAAATGCTATGAAAGAGCCAGGCATGGTGGTACACACCCATAATACGAGTACTTGGGAGTTTGGGGTGGGAGGACCAACATGAGTTTGGGGCCAGCATGTGCTATACAGAGTTCGAGGCAAGCCTGAGATACAATATGAGACCCTGTCTCAAAAAAAAGTACAACAAAAAGGAGATATAAGGTCCACATCTTAAAGGGACAAATAAGCCTCAGTGTGAAGCTGAGAGGAGCTTCCCTGGGAAATGGCACTGGAGCAGTTCCTTCAGGCGGAATGAGCAGCACTAGATACAAGTCACAGCACAGAGCCAGGGAAGGGGGCCGGCAGAAGCCCAGAGAGTCCGAGCAGAGACACTCACACACCGTGCATCTCCCACTTGCCCTTTAACACCCTCTCCCCAGACTCCTGGGCCAGCAGCATAGCATGTGTGCTCAGACACAAGCCACAAGATGTGACCCACCAACCCCAAGGCAGTACTTCCCTCACCTGCCCTGCCAGGTCCTGGGGTAGGACCTGAGCATTCCAGGCTCTCAGAAGAGCAGGTAGCTCCTTGAAGTGGTAGCTCCTGACATTTCCTGATGCTCAGAGAGGCTGTGACCAGTGGCACCAGCCCCAAGGAAGAGTGGAAATCTGACAGTCCCTACAAAGCTGTGTCAGCCAAGGCTTTGGGCTGAGACCATACCCTTGAAGATCCAAATGAGCAAAGACAATGTAGTATTGAGCAGTAGCCTGGGATGGGGAGCTGTGGACATGACCTAGGAACACACTCCTTTCAGGCCACTTGAGTGCCAAGTGACACGTGTCAAAAAAGAAAATGCCATGGAAACAAGCCCACAGATTCCCTTCCCCGAACTCATGACACAAAGACCGAAATAACAAAGATAATTGGATGCAATTGTGAATCAATCCTCCATACAGTGAGAGACCTGAGAGTCTGCTGTGGAAATGGCAGCTCTTTCCTCAGCCAGGCAGGGCTCCCAAAGCTCTCCAAGGAAGGCCCCGGTCGTTTCTGTTGCTAAGCCATCCCCTTGCAGGATGTGGGGAGGATGCCTAGAGACAGGCAAGCAGGGAAATGCACATGCAAGGATGTGGGCGCTGGCAGGCCCTGCATCCTGGAGCACGGTCCCCAGCTCAGAAATGCTGCGTATCTTCAGACCGAGGGCTTCCATGCTTCCAGCTCCCTCAGGCACCATCGGCTATCTGAGGCAGAAAGGCCAGCTTACAACACAAATAACTCACTACGAAGCAGCAAAACAAAGTTAAATCTGACTTAATCACTTTCTCATCACTGGGACAAAATATCCAACACCCATGTTGTATTTTGGCTCTTGTTCTCAGGCCATAGCCACCTGGCTCCAAGGCAGAAAGAGCATGGTGGAAGGGTCTGGGTGGGGGAAATCTGCTCAGGTCATGGCGACCAGGAGGCAGAGAGCGAAGGGAGGAGGCCGGGAGAGAGATGCCCGCTTCCGGTTCACACCCAGCAACCTGCCTTTTCTGGGTGGGCCCTGCCTTCTAGCAGCACGCTCAGCTGCCGAGCTCACCCATGGAGGATTCCACAGAGAGAACAGCGCACCCGAGATCCAGTCACCTTCCATAAGCCCCATCCACGACAGTACGAAGCATTTGGGGACATTCTTGACCTAAACCATAACAGTGGTCTAGTGTTTTCTCTAACGGGCAGCTTGTAGGGGTCTGTCGCTTGCACACAAAGCCCAGAAGTACCATCCAAGCTCAGTGTCACCCCACTCAGTGGGAAGTGACTTTTCCTCCATGGTCAGACCCTGCATACTTCCACTGGTGCTTATTTCTCTGTCTCCTCTCAACTGTGTCTTTGCAGGATAAGCTGGGCAGAGCCCTCCTTTGCCTCACCAGTCTTTGTAAGTCCTCCTTGAAGTAGCCCTGCAATACCAGTTGCCCACCTTAAGGGGAGAAATGAAGAGAAGTGAAGATCGCTTACCCCAGTCCCATTGCTGGTCAGCAGACCAAGCAGGATTAGAAAATAGACTTGCAGGGCCAACATCCTCTGCTGTTACCCATTACACCCAAAGTATTAACCCTTTTGGGTCTCAGGACCTTTTATGCTTTTCAAACGCATCCATGATTCTAAGAACTGTGCCTGTGTAAATTGTATCTATTGGTATTTACCGCAGTAGCAATTAACACTGAGATATTTTTAAATATGCATCTTTATTCCATTTAAAAATAATTTTATACCCATTATATATTTATATAAGAAGCATATTTTTGTGCCAAACAGAATGAAAACAATTTAATTCAGAACAGTGGTGCTGTCCTATATTTCTATAAACCTCTCTACTGTCTGTGTTCATAGATGACAGTTGGCTTTTCCTGTCTGCTTTGCATTCATCCCACTGTGATATGTTGTTTGGGGTAAAGGAGAAGCAGAAAATCTAGGTGTGTGGTTGGAAAAGTGGAGAGTATTTTAAGTGCCTGTTCGGATAATCATGAATATTTTTCTTTGACGCTATACCCAAGCACAACCAGTGGTAGTTTCTGAAAGGTTGTTGGGTGGAACCTGTGCACATAGCAGTGAACTTCACTGACTCCCTTATACCAAGACTCACTGGTCTGTCTTGACCTTTGGATGGATCTTTCTTTCCACCATGCATGAACTTGTAATATTACCCACTGGTCATTTGGAAAATAGTGGCTCATGGAGTTATGCAGATTTTCCAAGGGTTGACACACTGCATTGTATCATGTCTATTGACATTACCACTGATCACATCAGAAAAGTCTTTAAGTTAAGGAAAGTTGCCAAGCTCAGTGTGGCAATTACAAGTTTTCTAAAATTTTAACTTTCACTTGGAAGCTCATGTTTTACCACTGGCAGCAAATATCATTATTGGTTTGCCCTGAAGTGACAGGCTCACTTTGTTCCTTTTGCCAGAAAGTGACTACTAAGTACCCCTGCCTGAATAACCAGTTTACTAGCCATTCTTAAAAAAAAAAAAAAAAAAAAAAACAGTTTTTATGAAAAAATTAACAACCAGCTAGTTCGGTGAATGACACAATGACACAGATGCTTTACCTTGTGACAGCCATGTGCCTTATAGGCAGAAGTGTTCTATACACACACATCATTTTGTCACCCATATTAAAGAAATATGTGCTCAAAAGTTGAGTTAGTATAATTAATAATTTGCACTCCTTCATTCAAGGCCATTCTGAGGTGAGACTTGCTTTCTTATTTCTATCTGCAAGTTCACAGAGAATATGGGGCTGCTGATGTCATTTAGTACCCCAGCCCGGACCTGTGCTGAAGTGCCAGTAGTCGTCTCCTCTGCTGATTGCCTACTATCAGTGCAAATGTCATCCCAGAGCAAAAAGGCCAATCATGCTTCAGTCTTATTGAAACAGTACTTTTGGCCTCATAGACCCCTGAGAGGGTCTCAAAGACTCACAACAGTCTGTGGATGACCCTGAGAACCATGCCAGTCATTATAAACTGGCAAGATTTGCAAGGGAAGCCTACAGATTCTTCTTGTGGAAGACAGAAGCAAGTGCAGGACATTTCAGCCCCTAAATCAATGTCATAAGTACTTCCCTGAGTATTTATGGCCCTTAGAAAGTACAAGTATTGCTGTGTAGATACTTTTTTTAGAAAACAGCTTATCTCGAAGTCACTTCCATGTATGGGAATACTTACAAACATAAAGTGTTCCTGGTTCTGGGTGCAAGTTCTGCAAGGCTACATCTTCTTAAGGGCTAGAGAAAAGACTCAGAATCTAATGCTGGGGAACAGTGTCCTTCCACAACTTACCCATGGTTAAATTCCAGGAAGTCTGGGTACTAATTTTGGTCTCAGGATCATGGTCACGGATTTGTTGTCCTACAGGTGATATCCCGAGGAGAGGGGAGAAGTGACATATCCCCCAGGCAAGGTGGTCAGAGGACAGGATTTGTGTTAGACATGAGGTCTGACTACACCCAGGGAGCAGTGGGCACATGCATGCACTGTGCACACAGCACCGACTGGAGCCAGGACAGTCAGGGCTCAAGCAGGAGGCAGGAGGGCCGGCACAGGGCAGAGACCCACATCT